AAAGAGTATGTAATATAGTTTTTGTATGTGTAGTCATGAATTTTTGCATGCTGACTGTTCTGTGCATTTAGTCTTTCCTTGTGATATGCCTGAGTTCTGTAAATATAAACTTCAGGATCCGTGCGCCAGTGATGAACGTTGATATAGCACCGACTATTTTGGATATAGCTTCTGTGACAGTACCTGAACATATGGATGGCCGGTCGTTACTTCCAATTATTCGACTGCAAGGTAATGGAAATTTAAATCCGAGGAGCTACAGTGTCACCGAAAAACCGTGACTTAATATTTCAAAAGTTTTATAAAAGCTGTGTTGTGCCACTTACCAGTATGTGCATCTCTCAGCAAGAGCTAAGCACACCCTTTCCGGATGTGCATTTTTATAGAATGCCTTTTTATTTTTGTACGTTTTTACATAATTAATGAAATTTGAAAATTTATACTGTCGATAGGTTATTTGTGGTTGATATATTGATATTTTGCTCGCTGGGGAAACGCAGCTGTTTTTATGCGTTTTGTGCTGTGTAACAGCAGTGCAAAACGCATATTGTCACGGGGTTGTCTGTGTGTGTTTGTGTGTGTGTCCGCAACTTTCAACTCGGGGACCACAAAAGCTAGGAATCTGAAAATTTAGAGGGACGTTCCCTACCCACGTATGACCCCGCAAATTTAAATTCAGCCTTCCCGTACCCGCGGGTAACAAGTACGGCCCGGTGAAAGTTTTTTACGGGTAAATTAATATCTCGGGGACCACGGAGTCTAGCAGGCTGAAATTTTAGGGTAATGACCCCCTGCCCACGCTCAACCTTGCCCATTCAAATTCAGCCTTCCCGTGCTTTTGCGTATCATCTACGGCCTCGTGAAAATTTTGGCGGGTAAACTATTAACTCGGTAGTCACGGAAGGATATTCATCCTTCAAGGTTTCGAATTCAGCTTTCATGCGCTGGCGTATGAAATTTTTAACTGTTTTCCAATGTTTAAACTATTTTTGCATGGACTAAAGTACAAAGCAGTGAAAATCATTGATAGGCAATCGTTCGATGGGCTGAATTGCACA